TGTAATAGAAGAATGGAAAATCACACCTGAAAGTTGATTAAAACTGTATTATTCAGTGGCAGTTATCACTAACCCATGGAAAGGTTGAATGGATACCATCAACTTTAGAGAGTCCGGGTTGGAGAGAGATCTCTTAAAATGCCTATGCACTTCAAAATATTGCAGCCTTTATCTAGCAAAATTTTATTGCTTTTCATTTTGCTCTAACAGTGTCCTCTATTTCAGCTTCTTACATCATCTAAACACATTTATTTCCATGAGTACCAAACCATAAATGAAGTCCAGAAGTGCAATAATGAGGACTTGTAATATAGCACAATACTCACCCACCAAATGTTCCAAAGGAAACAACACTGTATGTACTGCATTACATCTCCAGAGTATGCAATTTTTCACTCATCACAGTTATAGTAGTTGACCATGAACTGATGATTGAGTTCATAAACATATCCATGTAGTTTTCTTGAATGAGTTGGCCATTGTTTCTGTCAGGTAGGTTCCCCACCCGCAAATATAGCTTATTGCCATTTAATTTCCTGATGAGTTCCCATTCAAATAATAACCAACTTTCATTCTACTTAGGATTTTTGAGATCAGCTAAGAGATTGACATCATGGTGACATCAAGGTGGACCTAGATACTGCAGAACTAGAATTAATTAGCTGTCTTTTGCATTAACATAACCTGAAGGTGTAAACCCAAAGGGAAAAAAAATCCCTTTGGTGGAAGGATTGAGTCCAAGCAACAATCCCCAATCAAAGGTCAAAGTTTAATAGGCAGGTGAACTTTTCAACCCTTGTAAATTTAGCAATAGTAACAAGTGTATATTAGATTATGTTTTTTATTGTCCCATTTCATCCCAGAATGATCTTGAGTCATTGAACTCATTGAGTATCATGCATCAGTCAACTTTCTCATTCTCCCTGCTTTATGCTCAATTATAATGGTAATGATCACACCTTTAGGAGAGTTGAAAGAACAGATTAGGGATAGGTTGTCATGGAAAAGAGAAATCTTGAAAAAAGACTTGATGGCACACTATCAACCTTGCTACTAGTGAGAGATAAAAATAAGGCAGTGCTATAGAAGGGAAGGATAGTCTCTTCCAGTTATTTGGAGGATAAATGGAATGAGATTTAAATAACAATTTCAAAAAAGCAATGTCTATGTAAAATAATCTCTTAAGTGGTCATCACTTTCAACAAAGGTTTTAAACATACCTGCTGAACAACCAGGATACCTGATCACTAATGAATAGGTCATTTTTGGTTTTAGCTCAAATAGTGCAAGGGAGTCCTGAATTTGACAAAAGAATCTTAATGATTCATAATGGCTGTGGACATTGCTGTGAATAAGCAGTTAACCCCAGGGGGAAAGGGCATAATCTGCCTGGCGGATTATGTGTGAAGCTTTGGGAAGAGGAGGAAGGGAAGGGGACAGAATCTTAGGCCTGCTGAATTTGAAACATTTTGGGTTATTACACACTCCCCACTCCCCAGGAATGAAAGCTGGGATGGACATGATCTGTTTTCTGTTTTATAAATCACTTGATTCAGGTGTCAAATATATACCTTATAATTAAAGAATTTGATGCCTCTCAGAGATTAACATAACAATTTATTCTGAGCACTGGAAGCGAGCTGGGTTTACTTTATTTTCTTAAATACAAAAAATCATTTTAGGAATTCCTAATACTGCAACCATTCTAACTCTGAACTACTTTTTATCCACCCTTGGAGTAGAGAATATTGTTTTACAAGAGCACCTTTTTCTGTTATGCTTTACAGAGCAGATTCTAAATAAAGCAAATACTAACAGAAGAGAATACTTGAACTGTGAGGTTCTTGGCGCCCTTTGAACAAAAAACAAAAGCCAAGCAAGCTCAGAGAGCACCAAGGACCTCAAAGCAAACTTGTAATATATTTCCTGTGCTTTTCCATTAAAGCAAATTAAACTTGGCAGGGCTGCTCTAGAAACCACAGATATTTGTGTTGATTAAAAAAAAACCCTTGTGTTATCTTTCCCATTTAATAGGTTTGCACATCTTTGGGACATGGATGTATATACAGAGTTAAACTACATAAAACACTATGCGGGGAGTAATCCTGCTTAACACTTTTGTTTATTTTGAAGCTACTTAGCAGCTGTTACTGCTGAGAAGCAATCAAGTAGTAAACATTAGCTGTGGTATCTCCCTTTTCTTGTTTTATTGTAGAGGTTAGAAAAACATGAAGGGTCCCCCAACCAAATTCCTGCTATTTTGGGGGCAGGTAGGAAAGACAGAAAGCAAATAAGTTGAATAGATAGTTGGATAGATAGTTGGATAGATAGATAGATAGATAGATAGATGATAGATAGATAGATAGATAGATAGATAGATAGATAGATAGATAGATAGATAGATAGATAGATATAGATAAAGATAGACAGACAGACAAAGATCCATCCATAGATAAATGGATGGTCAGGTCCATGCCATGTTTAGAACTGCCTCACATTCACCCTGTTTCTGAGTCTGTAGCCATTACAGAAGCCATCATATTTGCAGCCCAAAACTGTATCTAATGAGCCCAATTCTTCCCAGTTTGGTGTGATCATGGCACCTGGACTAATGTTCCTCTTGGCTTCTTCTCTCACCTGTGGATGACATGGGACAGCAGGGTTGTGGTGTGCTGAGTTGACTCCCTATGCCTGGATCAAAGCTTCACTGTGGTACTGTGTGACATCCCTACCTAGGTGAGACAAGCCCAAGAAGGAAGAAAAAGACTGTGCAGCTGTTTGTAAACCAGCCTTATTCAAGTTGCCCTCTACAGTCGAGAGATTACAACCGCCATTATTGGCTCAGTTGCCAAAGTCAGCTGGAGTAAGCCACCCTGGTTAGCAGCAGAGTGAATGAGCGCCCACTTTTTCCTCATCATGAGCCGAGCCTCCAACCAGCGAAGCCCACAAGTGATCGATCGGGAGGCAAGAAAGATCGATCGGGAAGCAAGTCGCAACCTCCCCTTCCAATCTACCAAGCTCTCGGAGCAACAGGCCGACGAGGCTTCCTTCCCCCATGCAAATCCCTATGGAGATTCTCAGTCAACCAGCTCTTGAAAGTCCAGTTGCCTCTTGGGGAAGTGGCGGGGGGGGGAAAGCACTTTTGGGTTTTCCCACGCAACGCAACCCGGGAGCACGTGGTTTGTCCCGAAAACCCTTGGAAAGCTATTAACCTCCACCTCTTAAGCGAACCGCCGCTGGTTTTGCAACCCCACCGGGCTCTCTTCCCCGCCCCCCCCCGCCCTCGGGGTCTTTGGGAAGGGGGGGGGGGGGGGGGGGAAAGTGAGCCAATCGCCCGGCTCGGCGAGGTGAGAAGAGCATTAAAAAAAAAAAAAACACCAACCCTCTCCTTTCTCAGCGAACTGGAGAGCAAGCGCTGGTTCTTAGGGCGCCTGCGCGCCCGGGGAGCGTCTGGCTGCCTATAATAACAACAGGGAACGCGAGGGAGCGAAAGAGATCCGCGCGCACCACCAGGAGCTCCTGCGGTTGCCGCGGCTGCCGGCCTCGGGAACCTCCGCTAGGAGTTTTCTTTCTTTCTTTCTTTTTTTGCTCTCGCCGGCCGGGAGGATCGGAAGGCAAAAGTGGCCCTTGGGCAGAAAAGTACCGGCGAGACCTCCGTCCGGGCTCCGGCTCCGCTCTCCAAACCAGAAGAAAACAGCGGCGAATTGGGAACCGTGCGGGACATTTTGGGGAAGAAGAGAGAGCCCGAGCGGGAGATTGCGCTCCAGAGGGGGGGTTCTTTCCCGACCCTTTTCCGCTATTCCAGCTGCTGGACATTTCCATGAAGAAGCTCCTCCATGGGCATCAAGGAGTTCGAACGGGATCCCGACTTTCGGATATGGGGACTTCCCTCTCCGGACTTAACGAGGGGCTAAGAAGATGAGGAGCTGCTGAAGGTGGCCCTGAAGCGGCTGCGAGGGGAAAGCCGGGCGCCCGTGAAAGGGGAGGGGGCGGTGTCTCTTCGCCCTCCGCCAGGTCGGCCCCTCAGCCCCCTTCCCTCCGATCTCCGCCAGCCACGCGCACCGAGGGAACTCCGGGCGTGTTATGGTTCCCGGAGTCCTTCGTTCAGTCCCACTGGTCTTGGGGGGCGACGGCTTTCCGTTTGTTAAGAGGGGCTTGTCGTCTCGGGCTCTGCCTCCCCGGCCAAAGCGACGGCGTTTCCCCCTCCTCACCCGGCTGGGGACAGCGGGGTAGCTTCGTCGAGCAGCGCCACTCGGGGTTCCCCATTTAGTCGCGCCCGCGTCTGCGGTCTCCGTCGGACTTCATGACAAAAGGAGCCCCGCGCGAGATGCCGAAGTTCCTCGACGGCCAAGAGTTCGCGGGGGCGACCAAGTGGGGTTAGAAGACCCGGCGTCGCCCAGGGACTTGGCCGAGGAGGGGAAACCTGAAGAAGACGGCTTTGGATTTCCCACAGGGCTTCTCCGCCTCCCGTTGGTGCCAGGAGCGGGGTGGACTGCGGGCTGTTCACCTCAGCCCCAAACTCTTCGGCAGACCGCAGGCTCTTTATCTTGTCCTTTGCCCCCCCCACACACACACACACACTCGCATACACACACACACACACACACACACACACACGAACGCAGACCCCCCTGTTCCTAGCCAGTTGCTGCAGCGAGGTGACAACCAGTTGGCACTTAGTTCAGGGGTCGTCTATTCGCAGCAGCAGCAGCAGCAACACCCCACCCGCCCTTTGGCACGCTACGCCCGATTTTCCAGCGGAGCCCGCCTTCCTCAGGCCGGCTTCTGTCTCGAAATTTTCGTCTCTCTCTCTTCTCTCTCTCTCTTTTGCTCTCTCGCGCGCGGGCGCACGAACTTCTGTGGCCTGGTCCAGAGAGAGAGAGAGAGAGCGGGACAGGCAAGCCTTGCGTTGCTTGACGGAGCGCCCGATTCAGGGGCAGGAGCCTCCGCGGACCCCACCCCACCCCGCCTGCTCTCCCGCCTGCTCGCGTCGCGTTGCCATGTGGCGGGGCCGGCGTTGGCAGCTGCTGGCGGCGCCGGGAGGGCGGCTTCTGGTGCTGCTGCTGTTCCTGCTGGTGGGACTGAGGGCGCGGAGGGCGCTGGCTAGCGGCGAGTATTGCCACGGCTGGCAGGACGGGGCGTCGTGGCGGGAAGGTTTCCAGTGTCCGGAACATTTCGACGACGGCGACGCCACCATTTGCTGCGGCACCTGCGCGCTTCGCTATTGCTGCTCTCGGCCGGAGGTCCGCCTGGATCAGGGCACGTGCGACAACGACCGGCAACACGGCGGAGCTGAGCACGGCCGGCCGGACAAAGACTTGCCAGACAGCGCGGCAGGTACGGAGCGGGGAGCCTGAGATACTCCCCACGATTGCACCGCTCTTCCCCCAATGATCTCTCCCTCGAGTTACCCCTTTTTCCTTTGGATCTGACGCGTGTGCGCACAGGTAGGCCTCGACTTACAGCAGTTCCTTTAGTGACCGTTCGGCACTGAAAAAAGCGACTCATGACCGTTTCCCCCCCACAGTTACAACCTTTGCAGTGCCGACGTGATCATGTGATCAAAATTCACACCCTGGGCAACATGATTCATAGTTATGACCTTGTAGAGTCCTGGGGTCATGTGATCCGCTTTTGTGACCGTCTGAAGAGCAAAGTCAGTGGGGAAAACCGCTTAACAATTGACTAATCAACTGCAGCGATTCATTTAACAACTGGTCCTAATATGGAGCAAAACACACTTAACAAAGGTCTCACTTAACCACAGAAATTTTGGGCTCAAATTGTGGTCGTAGGTCGAGCACTGCTTGTATTTCTTTTACATAGCCTATGTTTAGGTAGTCCTTGACTTATGGCCACAATTGAGCTCAAATTTTTTGTGGCTAAGCGAGACAGTTAAGTGAGTTTGCCCACACTTTATGACCCTTCTGGCTGCAGTTGTTAAGTGAATCACTGCAGCTCAGTTAGTAACTGGCCGGACAAAGACTTGCCAGACAGTGCGGCAGATGTTTTGGTCTGTGACCGCAAATAAAGTATTATTATAACTGGTTGTTAAGTGACTTTGCTTGTGAGAGGTCACAAAGGGACCCTGGGATACTGCACTGGTCATAAATATTGAAGCATCTGAATTTTGATTATGTGACCATGGGGATGGTGCCTCGGTCGTGGTCATAAGTGTAGAAAATGCTCATAAATCATTCTTTAAATAAATCACTGTTTTCAGTGCTGTTGTAACTTCAAGCAGTCACTGAATGAACTGTTGTAAGTCGAGGACTACCTGTACCTAATACTACCTGCATTAGTCGTGTTACGGCTTATAGGGCAATCAGCACCATGTTGCTTTGGAATATGCATTTATTATGGAAGATATGACTACTTATTGTACCCTATGACTATCATTAAGTATTGTACCTTATGATTCTTGGCGAATGTGTCTTTTCTTTCATGTACACTGAGAGCATTGGCACCAAGACAAATTCCTTGTGCGTCCAACCACACTTGGCCAATAAAGAATTCTATTCTATTCTATCTATAATAAAGAAATATGATGAGTACCCATGGGATTCTGGTATTCATCACTGGTACTTGCCCAGTCAGTCAATCTAGGACTCTTAACTTGTTGAATAATTTGGATGTTTCAAGCTGGGTGCTATAATGGCTTATATCCGGATTATCCTGTTTCTGCTCTGGTCCTTGATCCTCTTTGGGGATCTTGGACTTCAAGGTTTAGATCCAGCTCTAGCTCCACCTTGGGGCCCAGGGTGGGCTATTGCAAGCAAAGCAGACCTACCTGTTTACCTGAGTCAGCAGTAAGAGCCCAGGTAAGGCTCTGGATATTTTCCTCTGGAGAATATCCAGAGTCTTACACGGGCTTTTTAATGCATATCACATGTGCATGTATTTGTTGTGGCACAGAAATTATAATTCCTTGGATGGAGTAGAAAATGACACTGTTTAAAAAACTCAAGTTAGTAAATGTAGAGAACTTGAAATTGACTTAAGAACAGGTTCTCATTTAACACAAAGTGCTTGAGTTATTTGCATGCATATGGGTATCGTTGATGAGATGTAAAACATGTACTTTAAATTGAAATGCATTTTTTTTAGCCTCTTTGTATCTATTCACATAACGAGAAGTTTAGAGCATTCTGCCGAATACATTCAATGTTAATATTTGTATAGCTATCCTAAGTTCAGGAATTCCTTTATACTTGCCTTTGTGTAGAGTTTAAGAATAGTAGTTTCAAAACAAGCCTCTTGTGATATATATCTACAAGTATCCCACCTGTGGAACTTTTGAAACTTCCAGAAAAGTTTTCCAAAGCTGCTTTCCTCAAAATCCCTTAAAATTATTGTACCATCGTCACAGTGCATAAAACACATCCATCCACATGCAAAGCTCTATTTATTGCTTTGAATTTATTGCTCCTAAATTTTTGTGACCTGAATAACCCAAGAAAACAGTCTGTGCACTCTACAACACTTATACTCAGCAGATTTTTCACTGTGAGAAGTCACTATTTTGGGATGTTTTCTGAATTTACAATACAAAATACAATAGAAATACAATAGGAAGAGGACTGCAATAGAACAGAATATTGTTACTTTAAATGTACCGATACACTAATCAGCATACATTAAATTGAAATTTCATTGCATTTAGTTCTCAAAGGATAATCATTATGCATATACCTTCATACACACACATATATGACACTGAGAAACATTGTAGTCTATTTCAAATGTATACATATACATGGCAAAAACAAAACAAAATACTAGAATCCTATGAGTTAATAAGATGGATGGCATAAGGAATAAAACTTAAGATTCAGGGTTGAGCAATGCAACAGCATGTAGAATATCATGACGCAGAAGGCAACTGAAAACGTTACTATAATTTTGTGTGCTAAGAGCAGGAGTTGAAAAAGGTTCAGTCATAAAAAGAGACATGAAAAAGTTTTCATAGGTATAAGCACAGGACCAGTGGCAATTAATTGAGTTGATGATGTCACAGTTTTAAATGCCTACACGGTGCAGTCATTTAGTTGGAAGTTAGTACTATTTTACCCAATTCATCTAATTTTTAGTATGTATAAGATCTGTTGCCATCCCCTGATCTTTTTTTTCTTAGCAAAAATGCAATTAAGAGCTTATTGAAACTACCCCACTGGGGAAACATACCGGACCATATATTTAAAGTACAGGTAATCTTCAATTTATGATCACAATTGGGACCAGGATTTCTATTCTAAGCAAGGCACCCAATTTTATGGTCTTTTTTGCCCTGGTTAAGTGATTCACTGAAGTTGCTAAGTGTATAAGAAGAGATGACATAATTTTGGGGGTGGAATGAAAATGGGATTCAGCCTAGAATCCTTAGGTAACCACAAGCAGACAGTCCAAGCTCCTGGTCCTTCACTGCTGTTGACACATATCTAACTAAGCAGGTTTCCACCTGTGTGTAGGAGTTTAGTAATAAATCAGGTTAAATGAATCTTCACTTGTGGGTCTGGTCTTTTCACACCTGACATTAAGTGAATCAAGTGGTCATTAAGTAAATTAACTTTGTTCATTGGAAGCCAATGGGCAGGTCACAAATGTGATTACATAAATCCAGGATGCTGCAATTATTGTAAATACTTTTCCTAAATGCCCGCCCAAATGCCCAAATTTTGATCACAGGACCATGAGAATGCCACAGTGGTTGCTGTAATATTAATGATCTGGTATAGTAAATTGCATATTGTCAAAGAAGTGGTGGTGGGAGGGTTTCTTTTTTTTTTTAAAGAAGATAAAGTGAAAAACAACCTGTCAGTGAACACGGGCTAAAATCAAAAAGAATAATACCCTGTTAGGGCATAGATATAAAAGAATGCTCCCTTGCTGGATTATGCAGTTATTTATGAATATAGTAGACAGTAAAAGTCACAGAGATTTGGAATGGGACACTTTTAAGCAGAAGCTAGCTATGTCATAACAATGTAATTAACTATTGTGGAATGTTGGCTAAGGTATGATTGAGAAGTCAGGTTTTAATCCTCCTTCAGCCACAGAAACTTCACATTGTCACTTAACACCAATTACTCTCTCCCTACCCATCCTGACTAGGGGGTTTAACAAGTGCGTTTTTTCTCAGCTATGCCTTCCACAGTTCCAGTTGCTAGCAGTTTCACAGAGATCTCACATTAAGCCATCAATATCCCATATGTAAACCTTGACCCTAACCCTAATCCTAACTCTATAGGATTGGCAATTATATGGACGTGGTATACATTCCTTGATGGTGTCCCATCAAAGTATTAACTAAGCTTGACTGAGTTTATTTTGTAAGCCTAGTTAAGGTCATCCTATTACTGTTATGTAACTAGGCACAGGAGAAAATTGATGTTGTTCTGGAAGTCTGACTCAGGAGATGGTTGAACAATCACATGTTTCATCATCAACAAATCGGTTTAAGAATTTTTACTCCTCCACAGTTGGAAGATACCATGTTGGCTGAAAGTTGGGATAGAGTCTGTCGGATAGAAACATCTTTTTTGGAGTGTGTGCACGTGTAAACTAGTTCCTCTTCCAGGCTTTCCCCTTTTTTATTCATGGACTCTCTCCATTCAGTGTTTACCTGAAAATAAACAAGTAAGAAAAAACAACATCCAGAATAGTAGCCTTGTTGAATACCAAAAGGAAAGTACAAAATTAATGCTGAGGCTATATCTGCATTAGCTGGAGTGAAAGTTTGCATAATAATTACAAGCTTTCTTGTTTCAGGTTAAATTTCATCTTTCAAAAACTAAGGGACATGTTATTATCTGGTTCCACTTTCCAACAATATTTGTGACAATTCTCAGAGCAGCCTAAAAGAAACATGTCAGAAACTGATATGGCCCAGTTTCCATGGATTAAAATGTAATCTGCTACAAAAATGTCTCAGATATTAACCGTAACATTTAATGTGTACTAAACTGGGAAACCAATAAAAGAAGAAAACCAAAGCAACCCATTCTGATACTGTGTATGTTGTCAACAGGAACTGTGTTTGACCTTATTTGTTCTATTCCTGAAAAAACTGCATATTACAAGAAATGATTAATTTCATTTACACTCATATTGATGGTGAATCTGGAAGAAGACAATGACAAACCCGATTAGTAACAACAAAGTAAAATTTCTCTAGATTCAAGAGGAGTGGGGATCCCTAACTTAATTGTATATATGTCCAAGTCATTAACAATAAGAGATCATACTACAGGAGTAACTTAAAAAATCACTATTAACTATTAATCTTTGCTTTGAATAATGCAATTATAGATATGTCCACCTAACTATATATATAGTTGTGTAGTCCAAATGTTTCTGCAATGTAGGAGTTGTAGAGTACAGGACAAATTTTCCCTGAAACCAAACTGTTCATTAGAGAGTAGGTTGATAGACTTTTAAGTGGAGGGTAATGGATTGGTTAATGATTGATTCCATGACTTTGGAGGTGACACAACATACGGACCAATCTCATTACTACTGTTCCCATTTATTCGTACTCAATTTATTATGCATATACTTATACCTGTTTATAATTATATGTTTATATGCTATGTTCATACTTATGCTTGTTTTCTCATACATGCTTGACAAACAAAGTAAACAAAGATGAAATGAGACCTCCAAGAGTTTAGCCATGAGCTAGAGGAAGAGCAGGAATAACAATAAGATGAGGTGGTAAGAGGAAAATCAGTGCATAATATTGTGTGCTTTATTTCAGTTTTATAAGTGATGGGAGGAAAGAGAGAAGAACTTGTCATGCTTGTTGCAATTTTTGCCAGCACTTCTGATTGCATTTTGTGAAACAACTCAAAAAGCTAGCCTTTTTCCAAACCTTCCAGGTATATTGAATTCCCCTAATTATCACAGGCTTTGCTAGTTTGGGAATTCTAGTTTGGCATACTTGGAGTTCACTAGGTTGGGAAGACTGTTTTACCAATTCCTTGGGTTTTTTTTGGTTGTCTTGCTGGAGGTAAGAAAAGGTAGCCAAAAATGTCTCACGGTTGTATACTCTATATTTTGTCCTGGTAGAACAAATCCTCACAAGTTTTTTTTTCTTTTTCTGTTGGCAGTGCCTATTTATGTGCCATTCCTTATTGTGGGGTCTGTTTTCGTGGCATTCATTATTCTGGGGTCCCTCGTGGCTGCTTGCTGTTGCCGATGTCTGCGACCCAAGCAAGAACCGCAACAGAGCCGGGCTCCTGGAGGAAATCGGATAATGGAGACAATCCCCATGATTCCAAGTGCCAGCACCTCCCGTGGATCATCCTCACGTCAATCAAGCACAGCTGCCAGCTCCAATTCAAGTGCCAACTCTGGTGCCAGGGCTGCCCCCACCAGATCACAAGCTAACTGCTGTTTACCAGAGGGGACCATGAATAATGTATATGTCAACATGCCAACTAATTTCTCAGTACTGAACTGCCAACAGGCCACACAGATAGTGCCTCATCAAGGGCAGTATTTGCACCCCCAGTACGTGGGGTATGCTGTGCAACATGACTCCATGCCCATGGCCTCTGTCCCCTCTTTCCTGGATAGCCTGCAGAGCGGGTACAGGCCAATTCAGTCGCCATATCCCCACAGTAATAATGAACAGAAAATGTATCCTGCAGTGACTGTGTAACTCTAAGAAGGGAAGGAAGAAACCAAGAGTCACAGCGGTGCATCAAGCAAAGGAGTAGTAACAACAAACTGTACAAAGCAACAATTTGTAAATAATTTTGGAAAACCTGTGCTTCAGACAGTGTCTATTCCTGGTTTTCACTGGATACCTTCATACCTAGAAGTGGTATTTCTAGGTGTAATGCCTCCATTCCAGTGTATAATTTATAATGGCTAAGAATTATGCTGAAGGAGGCACTGGTATTTCTGTTACCAATAAATAAGGGATTAAATGCCCCTCAGGTACTTCCCAGTCATCAGTATTTGCCTAGTGGATAGAAGACATTTTGTAATGTGACAAGACAATATTTTAGGAGCGTCTTGTTTTACCTTTTTGTCCGAGGTACAATGACTCTTCATATTGCTGTACCGACAATCATGCTTCACAGTAGTAGGCTAAATGGTGCAATGCTTGTTAGTGTCAGTCCTAGGAACTTATTGGTTAGCTCAGTGGTAAAAATGTAGTCATTCCATCTTCCTCCCCACTTCTCTCGAGTTCTGCAGCAGTTGATTTGAGAAACCTTCTGCTGGAGAATCTGGAAAGCCATAAAAATGGGCAAATAATCTTGAGTTCACGTGGCAGCTTCATATGGTTTCTTTTCCTAACTATATAACATTTATTTTCCAATGGACTTGAGGTTTTGATTTATAGACTGGGATTTAAGGAACTAAACCAGCCATGCTCATTCAGAAACAAGGAAACTGGGATTGATTTCATAACCTTCTTTTTCAAATAGCAAGTCCTCATTACTCCATAAAAGTTCCTTTCCAAATAGCCACTGTGACATATCTCCTCAAGAGCGTGAATATGTCTGTGCAGTCCTTTGGATTATGGCCATGGTCCGTGCAGAAATATTATTCTATCTCAGGCATTTTCAGATCACAGTAAATTACTCTAATTAAAATACCCACGAAAGCCTCAATATCTGTTTTATTAATCTGTGAATTTCAGTGCTTGGACACAAAGGCTCCTGAATCCCTTGAAAACTGCATTTGGGAATGTCAGTAAAGTGAGGTTTGTTGATTGTAGCCAATACTTCATTCAACATGTTCCTAACTCCTTTTGTATTTGAATGCAATACAAAAGTCACATCTATATCAACACTTAACATGGACCTGAGAAGGGGGAATTCCTATTTAATATGAATAAAAACATGCCAAATAATCACATGCTTGGAAATTCCTACACAAGTTTCAACATTTGAGTCCAGAGGAAGATTTAAATTAGCAACCACAACAATAATTAGAAATTAACAATAACAGTATAAAACATTACAATGAGAATGTAACAGTCCACAGATATCCATGTAAAAATATTTTTGATAAATTGGATAGTTATTTATGGAAGTTAAAAAGTTTAAACAACATTAAATCAAAACTATGTTGCCCCGTACCAACTAATCTTGTCTACAGTATCTCATCTATCTAATATTACAGTATACTTAATAATTTACTGTAGAGACTTATTAGCAGTGACATTGTATCTATATATATAAGTGAAATGCCATTCACGCATCATCACAAAATCTCCAGAACTGTAAAGCCTACAAACTTGAAATTTGGCATGTATATGTTCCTCTTGGCTTCTAGGTGCTCGCTAAGAAAGGATTTTTCGAAATGACCATCACAGCATATTATTATTAACACTCTCTGATGCTAAGGAGTTCTACTCCTCCACCCCAGCTGAAAAGAAATCTGTTCCAAATGCAAAATACAAGCAGAGGAGAGGAGTTTCAGTTTCACAGCACCAAGCAGCTTTAGTACAGAACAGTTGAGCTAAACCACACCCAGGGTCCTTGTGGGCTCCTTGCTCACACAGCAAATACTGTTTCACTTTCCAAACAGCCCTCAACTCTCACACACTGACAGGATGCTAACCAGATGAATACGGATGGATGCTGGTAGGCAGAGGCAGAATTCCTCCTTTATTTTCCTCCCCAAAAACTAAGCCTGACCATATAGTTTCGTGGCGAAGCACGGGTATCGAGCTAGTTTGATTAATAATTTAGCTCTTAGCTTGAAAATACCTTTTTGGTCTGAATAGATCAATTTGTCTTAAAAATATGCCGTGCTTTGGAGCTAACTGGATTAGATTCACGATCATCTCAGAGGTAGAGTAAGTTTTCCTAGCTGAAATGAAAGTTGAAGGTCTTGGGCTGCAATCTTTATATACAGAATTAGAAGTAAGTACAATTTGACATCAGTTGGGCTTCCTTCTAAGTGCATAGAGCTGCACTTTCTCATCCTGAAATTCATTGCACGTGTCCTGCAACTTAGGTGAAAATCAGGTGAATATTTTGTTTACTTGTTTGGAAAAAAACAAGTTAAAATCAAAAGTATTATAGAAACTAATTTACAACTACTTGGGAGAAATGTTTTTCGTTGAGAAATGTATGAATGTGAGAAAGTTCATTGTATATTTGTTGATTTAGATTAAATGTGATAAAGGCTTGAATTGTGGAATTGAAAATTGTTTCTGAATGTCACAGTAATGTTATACAATAAAAGAATAGGATGTGTGAGAATAAATGGAACTTAGTAAATGGTTCAACACTGAGCAGAAAATAAAATCTTCCTCAACAATGCGCGATATGGTAGGAGTGATGAACTGAAGAACTGTGTGGTAAAGCAAGAAAAGAAATTAAATGTATGAGTGATGAATGAATATTATTGAATATGAAAGTGAGTGACCAGTATGAATGTAGTATATTGAGGTGGTATGTATATATAGTGAGAATTAATGAGGATCCAATTGCAGAATGAACTATGAAGTAAGAATGATTGATTGAGAGAAAGGCTCCTACAAAATTGTCTTAGGTTGGAATTGAGATTTTCAGAAAAACATGAAGTATAAGGAACAAAGGCAATGTATGAAGCAACGTATGATTATAAAGCAAGCAAGGATGCTATGCAAAGAGAAAGCCTGCAAACATGAACTGAATAGTATTGATGTAAACTAATTTTTAGTTGTGTTTCCTTTTTTTATGTGATTCTTTTAATCTCTTTGACTTATAAGGTCTTTTCTGTGCTCTGCATAATTTGCTAACCCTGAAAGGGAATAACATAATGTGTATGTATGTGTATACAGGGAAATGCTTTGAATTGTAATAAAAATGATTTGTGGTGTGGTGTTTTATACGTCATGTAAAATACGTAAAATATTGTTAATGTTCTGTTTAATTTTTTAAAAATTCTTAAAGAGCATTTGAGTGATTCTTACAAGTGAAAACCTTTTGTTTCATAATAAATATTTTATGGTGTGAATTTTATTTCCTTGCTATTTGTTGCTACCCATTTTTCAAACCCTAACTCAAGTTTTCAAACTTGACAGCTTTAAGACTTGTGGGCTTCAACTCCCAGAATTTCTCCTTCAGTCATGTTAGCTCAGGAATTCTGGGAGTTGAAGTCCACAAGTCTTAAACTTGCCAGGTTTGAAGACCCTAACTCTTTGATGTCATCCAGTGGTTATATGGAATTTTGCAGCCCAGTAAGAAACTGCTGCTGGAGTATTCAAGAATGGAGAATCATAAAAAGTTCTGAGAGAAATTTTGGAAGATGCCAAGCAAAACATAAAATACAGCCTTTGGAACATGAGATTTCTGTGATAAAATAAAAGCTTTTTCTCAAGGCTCATCTGCCAAGGTGTTCAAGCATGTGTGTATGCATTTGACTTGAAGAAGCATTCAATTAGTTCAGGGGTTCCCAATCTTTTCTATATCCCGCATCCCCTAGAACACTTCTGATATATTCTCACACCCCTTACAAAAATAAATAATTATATGCATATAATTTGCATATAATTATGCATATACACTATGCTTTTGAAACTTCTAAACCCAAGTGTTTGCACACCCTGGAATATCTCACACCCCAGGTTGGGAGCCCCTGCCCTAATTAATGTGCTAGTTTCCTGGCTGAATTAATATCTAAACTTTCTCGTGGAAAGCTGCTGAGCTGTAAGTCATCACTGCATCCAAATCATTTATGTTCTTCCATGTTATAGCCAGCATCTGGCAAGATCACATAAACTACCAAACCTTTTTCCTATGGAAATCTTGTTGGCACTTTGTCACAAACTGCCACTGGAGCTGAAATGAGTACAATTGTTCCTCTTGGTGTGGAAGTGAGTAGTTAGAAAGGGATACCATTTGCTGCCTAGCTGCCAGATGGTTAAATTTGTACTCTTGAATTCAAGGTATATGTGGGGCCCTGGAAAAAGTGCAGGGAGGGGGAATACCACCATTAATAATCTGGAATTATCTGGAATGTTTGGTTCCTTGCAGGGTAGACTCAGTCCATGTCTAGGCGCATTGCAATTGTATCTCAGGCTATCAATGATCTACTTATCCATCTTTAGTCTGCTTGGTAATACATATAGATGCTAAAAATGTGAAATCAACTTTCCTTCAGTATAAGCTTTGCTCCTGGTGACTTCATGGAGATGTCCATATAGGCCAAGATTTCAGCATCTTTAAAATGCTGGCTGGGGAATTGTGGGAGTTGAAATCCACACATCTTAAAAGTTGCTGAGATTGAGAAACACATAAGGGTGATGCTTTGTTTTGCTTTCTTGGCAGCAAGATGGAAATTGTTTGCCATCTCCTTTCAGGATGTTTTTTTTTTAAATTTCCAAATCAACCTACAGCATCAATAATCCCTGGAGATCCCCCATTCAAGTACTAACCAGCTGTATCATCCTTAGCTTCCAGCCCCAGATTGGGTGAGGTGAGGATATTTGGATGCAAATTGGACCAAGTAAAAACAAAAATACTTATATTCTTTTCTTTGATCAAAACAGTCAATTTAGCCACCTCTTCCAATTCCATCATTTTCTGTAGCCATTCATCTATAGTGGGGATCAAAATGTCCTTCCATTTTTTATGCAATAGTCTTGCTGCTGTCAACATATATAAGATCAGAATTCTGTTTTCCCCCAGAAACAGTGTAGGTTGTATAAATATATTAAGTAACTATGTATAAAGAATTGTAACAACTATTAAAATGATGTAGTATAGTTTTTTCCCCCTTTTTCCTTTGTTGCATTTTTTTCTGTTTTAAAAGTACTTCTTACGATCTATGTT